GGGGGGAAGAGGGGGAAGAAGAGGAGGCAGCCCCCTACCACGCACCACAGTGAGAGTGGCGAGGTGGCGAAGTCGCACTATCCGCAACGGTGGTGCGACCATGTGGCTGAGCCATCTTTGAGAACAGTGGGACTTGAGCATTCTTGGATTTTGGTATCTGCATGAGGATCCGGAATGGATCCCCATGTGGATACCGAGGGCCAGCTGTAGTTATGCATGAGGTAATAGCTGTTTAGATCAAAATATCTGCTATGGGGTTACTTTCAGGTGCAGAAATGAACAAAAGATAACTTCCAAGTTTGTTTTTCTGTTTAAAAAGGGCATTTTTTTGTGTGGCAAGGATGCAATTTAAAGCAGATATGGCCAGGGGTTTCACTAGAGGTGTGTGGACTGCACTAGGCAATACCTTTGAAGGGTGGTGGCTCAGTCACCCAATCTGTCCCAAGGTGCACACTCCCAGGATCCCTCATTTGCCAGCCAGAGCACCTCTGCTGCCCACTGGCTGCAGCAGCGGGGGGGTGTGGGGTGCTGGTGCCACCCATCAGCCCCTTCCGGGACTGGTGCAACTGCTGGATGAGTGAGAAAGGCCACTGGCTCTCTTTCTCACTTACCCAGCAGTGGCACCAGCCCCAGGAGGCACTGCCCTCCCATCAGCAGGCAACCTGGGGAGTGATAGCATGAGTTACCACACTGGGATGCCTCCAACCCTAGTGTTGCCACCTGGTATGGATATGTGTGGGAAATGTGCCCAATGAAGTCAGCCACCTTTGCTCCATGTCCTATCATTCCTCCCTCCCGCTTGTAAATTTCTGTAAACTTCAGGAAAATCCTAGGCATGCAAATGCCTTTCTCTTGCTTCTCAGTAGCTCCATTTTGGTTAGCCCGACCTTACCACCCAACATTTTTTAGAAATTAGAAGCAGTGATTATATATAGGCAAAAAACCACCACATATAAAAATGCCTTGTATGTTATTAGAAAAATTTAAGGGAGTAACTTTACCAAGAGCAAGAATTTGGTTTTGTAAGTTTCTTCAGTCTTTGAAAGAAATCATTTAAAAGAAACCAACAGCATTGCCTCCAATACTAATAAACTTTTGTTAAAATCTAGATCTCAATTCTATTTCTTTTTCTGTACCTTCCAGACAAAGTTCATATTTAACACAAATTTTCCAGCAGCATGTTTGAAATACAATGAATGATGGTCCTTGTAAAAGGTAAAAGTAAAAAGGCAAAAGTGGATATCTAGTCGTAAACAACTGTAGGGGGTGGTCCCAGACATGGGAGGAGGGGCCAAGAGAGCCCACGCATGAGCCCCTCCCACCTCCTCCAATTGCTAATAATCAAATTCATGAATGCCAAGGGCCTACTGTATTTAAATAGGATTGGGAAGCATGCAACCCTCAATACATTGTTAGACAACAATGTCCAGCATTCCTCACCATTAGCTTTGCCTCTGGAATCAAGCTTCTGGAACCTGCAGTCCAACATCATCTGGCTTCATGATTGCCATTCTTGCTTTAAACACATAATAATCATTTTGCCTTTATTTTTACCACTGATTCTTACTCACTGCATTTCAAAATACATAGAAGTCCACACAATACCTACCGCAGATGTAAAGGTTTGAAAAATAATGTGACCCTCTTAAAAACTCTAAGGATTCTCTGAAGTTTTTCCACAGTATATTCAGAACACATAAAGCACAGGAAAAACTGGAACATGTGTATCTATTATTGTTTAATATCTTTTGTCCAATATCTGTGACAAAATTGTTAGGCAAATTAAAATTACAAACCTGAAAGTGAAAAGCTTTCTATGCTTCTGCCTTCAGAGCAGCCATCTTTCTGGACTTCAATCATTTTGTCTAAACTGCACTAAAGGTACTGATGGACCAAGCTTTAGTGCAGGGAAACACAACTATAAAGATCAGGTGACTATTTTTTTCCCCATACCCTGGAGCCCTGCAGAGCACATCCACCCTTTTCAACAAAACTAGAAATGCAATTTGGGGCCAAAACCTTTTCTTCAACAACCCCTAGACTGTGAAATGACCTGCAGGAAGAGATTCAACAATTGAATACGCTGTCTGAATTTAAAACAGCATTACAGATCAACCTCTTCTGGCAGGCTTATCCTGATAATTTTTAAATAGTGAATTTTAAATGCTGAATTTTAGATCTGGATTGTTTTAATACGTGTACATTTCATTTGTCCTTTTAAATTGGTGTGTATTTTAACAAGTGTTTTAACTGATGTTATTTGTTAATTGTTGTTGTCCCCCTCAAT